TACCAAACTCTTGAAAGGCCCAACATTCTGGCTCTTACAGTGTGTGTGTGTGTGTGTGTGTGTGTGTGTGTGTGTGTGTGTGTGTGTGTGTGTGTGTGTGTGTGGTGTGTGTGTGTGTGTGTGTGTGTGTGTGTGTGTGTGTGTGTGTGTGTGTGTGTGTGTGTGTGTGTGTGTGTTGTGTGTGTGTGTGTGTGTGTGTGTGTGTGTGTGTGTGTGTATGTGTGTATGTGTGTGTGTGTGTGTTGTGTGTGTGTGTGTGTGTGTGTGTGATGTGTGTGTTGTGCATGTGTGTGTGTGTGTGTGTATGTGTGTGTGTGTGTCTGCATGTGTGTGTGTGTGCATGTGTGTATGTGTGTGTGTGTCTGTGTGTGCTATGTGTGTGTGTGTGTCTGCATGTGTGTGTGTGTCTGCATGTGTGTGTGTGTGTGTGTGTCTGCATGTGTGTGTGTGTGTGTGTCTGCATGTGTGTGTGTGTGTGTCTGCAGTGTGTGTGTGTGTGTCTGCATGTGTGTGTGTGTGTGTCTGCATGTGTGTGTGTGTGTGTCTGCATGTGTGTGTGTGTGTCTATGTGTGTGTGTTGTGTGTCTGCATGTGTGTGTGTGTGTGTCTGCATGTGTCTGCATGTGTGTGTGTGTGTGTGTGTGTGTGTGTGTGTGTGTCTGTGTGTCTGTGTGTGTGGTGTGTGTGTGTGTGTGTGTGTGTGTGTGTGTGTGTGTGTGTGCGTGTGTGTGTGTGCGTCTGCATGTGTTGTGTGTGCGTCTGCATGTGTGTGTGTGTGCGTGCTGCATGTGTGTGTGTGCTGTGTGTGTGTTGTGCATGTGTGATGTGTGTGTGTGTGCGTCTGGTGTGTGTGGTGCGTCTGCATAGGTGTGTGTGTGTGCGTCTGCATGTGAGTGTGTGTGTGTGGCATCTGCATGTGTGTTGTGTGTGTGTGCATCTGCATGTGTGTGTGGTGTGTGTGTGTGTGTCCATGTGTGTGTGTGTGTGTGTGTGTGTGTGTGTGGTGTGTGCATCTGCATGTGTGTGTGTGTGTGCATCTGCATGTGTGTGTGTGTGTGCATCTGCATGTGTGTGTGTCTGCATGTGTGTGTGTGTGTGTCTGCACATGTGTGTGTGTGTGTGTGTCTGCATGTGTGTGTGTGTGCCACATGTGTGTGTGTGTGTGTCTGTGCGTGTGTGTGTCGGTGTGTGTGTGTGTGTGTGTGTGTCTGCGTGTGTGTGGGTGTGGCTGCTTGTGTGTGTCTGCGTGTATGTGTGTTATATACTTATAACATAAAAAGCCAATGGCTTTACGGGAAGGAGAGTGTAGCCATAAATACACACAAGCTACCCATAACCCCCTTCAGATAGGACGGAGAATGACTACCATTGGCTGCCCGTTTAGATTAAATATTTTTACCGACCAACTGAACAATGGCCCAGGTGAAATAGTTTACTAAACCTTTGTCGGTGGCTACACACTAATGATCATAGGGTGTTTAAAATAACTATGAATTAAAAATACTTTAAAAACAGTTATGAAAACATAGAAAATAAGATCGGTATCATCGTGCTGAAATGTTTCATGCAAAGTACAACACATAGCACCTGAAATGACAATAATAAATGCCTTATGTTTAAAATGTAAGAAATGAGCACCATGTATAACAACCTCTACCAATGTCATTTATTTCAGACCAATCAAAATTAATCTTTTAGGAAATCTGTGCACAAGGACACACAAAAAAAGTTCAGTGTGTGTCTGTCCACTGTGAGAGAAGGTATACCTGTGAAATATTGATATATTGAAAGCCAGCTGAATTTTAAAATTTTGTGTTCTCGTAACACAAGAATAAATCTAATGGTAAAATATTGTCTGGGAAATCCCGACTGTCATGAAAGTAAAATAACCCAAATCTATGTTCACACAACCTAAGACCAGCAATGCTGTAACCTCCAAGCTTCACGCTATGGTATAGGCAACCAAGCACACGAGCTTTTTTTTCAATTTTTTTTTCTTTTTTTTTCTTTTTTTTTATTAAGGGCGTTACCGTTCGTGCCTGCAGATATTTCCTGTACCAACGACTGCAACCTTTTGCCCTTTATAAGAATATCCCCAATTGGCCAAGCTTAGTGCGTCTATACTGTAACAATTACCCTGGTTCTATTCCGAACAATTAACTTTACTTGTTTTTGTTAATTTTCGATTTACTAGAATACCTTTAAAAACTGCTCATACTAATGGACCAACAAAGCCACTCTTAATATATCAATAAACAAATTAACGCTAACTTATTGCTTCAGTAACAAAGAAAATTACTATTCTTTAAGTAATTTAAGTACAAATTTGCGATACAAACCTGTGAAACTCTAACGCTCACCTATAAAAGAGGAAATTCCGCAGACCTCTGGTGCGAGCCCACAGGATGCTTGTAAACAATGGAGTACGGCATATTTGGGGGTGATGTATTAGTCATAACCATTTTGTAAGAACATAAATGGTTTTTTGTTAGTATGTCGCTTTATATTCTGTTGCCGATAAAATATAATGAGAAGTATTTTTTAATGATTTGATGCTTTTTGTTGACTACGGATTGGTTTCATTTGATGATATATTACAATATGTAAACCGGATTTTATGATGGCGCGGCTCACAGGGCTAGCCAAAGATTCGTCGCGCGAAATTCAAAAACACCATCATTTAAGGTTTTGGTATTTTATATATCATTAGAGATTTCATCAAGAACGTTAATGATATAATAGTTTAAACGTGTTGATATGTATAATTTTCCTATCGAGATAGAAAGAACGACTTTAAGATCTGAGCCATTGTTTTCGAGTATTTCCTCCCTCTTTAGTTCAATAGCGAGATTAGAAATGAATTGCGCAATAGAGTTTCGTTGATAAAAGATAAATCAAAGTTTTCTGCCTGAGTCTGCGAGTCATTTCTCATGGGATTTTTTTCTTTTACTAGTGATTTTCAGAATATGTTCGATAGAATATTAAAGATATTCTGAATGTATTACACAAAATTCTAGTTGAAGTTATTAATGAAATGGTGAAATAGCCAAGGGAGGATGTGAATAAAGAAAACAAAGGAATGGATAGATGTATGAGAGATAAATTTAAAAAGAAAGAGCAATGAAGAATGAAAACACAGTTCTTATAATAAAATAAAAAAATTGATAGAATATTATGATAAAAAGGATATGGGAGATAAAGCGAAATAAGTAGAGTTTAAAGAAATTGAAAGGCAATGAAAAAGTTAGGAATTTTCAGTTAAACACCTGTTTAATGAAAAAAATATATATTTATTATTCAAAACATGTTAAACAAAACAAAAAACACTGTTTAGACATATGACAAACATTTCTTTTAATTTCTATGGTGACATGTAACACTAACAGAGACTAATGGGTAAAACCTCTGGTTAAGAGTATGATAAGTCATAAGCCACTATAATGGGAACTCCATTTATAAACATTTTCTCGTGAAGAGGATTCTCTAGCAGGTAAATAGTTATTTTATTTCTTTTGTATAATGAAAAATGATAACGATTTTCCAAACCAAGGTTTCGCCTAGTTCCCAAAATACGGTACTGATTATCTTGTCAATATGATACAAATAAGGATATTATACAGCAGGCTTTGTCAACAGCAGAATCACTATCTACTGAACGGAACATCGATTTTCTCGTGTGTCGCTGGAAGTTTCTTTGCTGGTTACAATGATGTTCGGTTCCTGCAATTGAATAAACAGAATCGGCGATTTCTATATTACAAGAAAACAAAAGAAGAAACAGATGCATGTTAAGGTCATAACATCCAACCAATCATTCCATTGGAGTGGTAATTATTTACGTCTGTATCTTTTGAGGTATTACGAAAAAAATGTTTTTAAATACTTTAATACTTAAACATTAAGTGCTTGTTTGACAAAACTAGCATTGCTTAACCAAGAGCAAAATATGTTAAAACACGAACCTTAGCTAACATAGATTTGGAAAGAATATTCAACGCTTCTTCAGTGTTTTGGCCCGTCTTGGCTGACACTTCCATGAACTGGACACCTGCCTTGTCAGCCATCTCCTTCGCTCGCTCCCATGACACCTACGGGCACATAGGGCCATTCATACAGAGGCACGGATGTATGGATAGACAGAATTACATATAGTCTGTGTTTATACATGCATACATATATACGTAGATACACACAGATATATATAGTATATATAATATATATATATATATATATATATATATATATATATATATATATATATATATATATATGTGTTGTGTGTGTGTGTGTGTGTGTGTGTGTGTGTGTGTACGTAATATATAATATATAATATATATATATATGATATATACATACATACACACACACACACACACACACACACACACACACACACACATGTATATATATATATATATATATATATATATATATATATATATATAATGTATATAATATATATATATAAATGTATATATATAATATATATACATAAATATATATATATATATATATATTATACATATATGTATGTGTGTGTGTGTGTGTGTGTGTGTGTGTGTGCGTGTGTGTGCGTGTGTGCGTGTGTGCTTGTGTGCGTGCGTGTGCTTGTGCGTGCGTGTGCTTTGCGTGCGTGTGCTGTGCGTGCGTGTGCTTGTGCGTGCGTGTGCTTGTGCGTGCTTGTTGCGTGCGTGTGTGCTGTGCGTGTGTTGTGCTTGTGCGTGTGTGCTTGTGCGTGCGTGTGCTTGTGCGTGTGTGTGCGTGTGTGTGTGCTTGTGCGTGTGTGTGCTTGTGCGTGTGTGTGTGTGTTTGCGTGTGTGTATTATATATACATATATAATACATACATATATATGAGTATATGTGTGTATATATAGATATATACTTATATTACATACATTACTTACATACATATAAATACAAATACAAATACGCGCACACACACACACACACACACACACACACACACACACACACACACACACACACACACACACACACCACACAACACACACAATGCGCATGAAAATCAGAAGGAATTAGAAATCAAGGGACCTGATTACCTGTCTTTCGTCACCTTTCAAATGGCAGTTGTTGCCAAGTATCATCGTTACTGTATTATCGGCACAATTTTTCCCAACGTCAGCCAACCTGGAAAGAAATACATATCTGGGTAACATAACCAGTTTCAGATGTTCAAATAAATGATACTGAAAAAATAAATCTAAAAAAACGTCTTTTTGTTATTTTTTGTTCACTTCTAAGATTTATGACTATTGTTTTGTAACGTTATTGATCACTATTACCTTACGTATGATATCTTATCAGGTGAATGCAGGACCACTTGAAGTTCATGTGATTCTCCTCTTTTCAGAATTTCGCAAAACATGTATATGGATAAAAAATGGATTGCTGGATGGATGGACAGACAAACGCGTAATTTAAGAGCAGGAGCAATTAAAGATTATTCATTTTTTCGTGCTAAAATCTAGTCACGTTTAGCTCAATAGTAAGGCATCTTGGTGGTCATCACAAAGCGTGGGCACTAAGAGAAATCTACTGATCTAAAGCTTTGTATACCTATCATCCACTAGTGTGTAACATAACCAACCATTTCTGGATGTTTTCATAGCTTTTCTCGCTAGCGACATCGTACACAACCAGAATTCCGCTCGCGCCTCTGTAGAAAGCGCTGGTGACATTGTGGAACTTTTCCTGTCCTGCTGTGTCCCACATCTGAAGCTTCACTTTCCTTCCACATACCTGCAGAATGCGTATCTTGAAGTCTACTCCTAAGGGAAATAAGGCGAGTAACAATAACATTAACCATTACGATAATGACAAAACAAAGGAGTACCTCATATGTTTATTGACGGCAATATTGAGATTAATGCTACTTGCATTTATCGAGCAGAATGATATTGCTTTAAAGTCTTTCAGTCTTTGCACTGAAGACAAAATATTTGATCGACCTATGCATATGATATTTAGTATATGATTTATGTAAAAGTCAGTACAAAACGGTATATGCAGTAGATAGGATGTTTTTAATTCAACACACGAACACTCGCCCTTTCACTACTGATCTTTACCATTATTAGTATTAGTATTATCAGTATTACTAGCATTATTAGCATTATTGTTATTGTTATTGTTATTGTTGCTGTTATTATTACTATTGTCATTCTTATAGTTACGATGATAATGATCATTATTGAGGAATATTTGTATGCGCCCATGTGAATGATCAAAAACTGCAATGCAATTATTTCTTTCTCAAATATACTGGTGGTCAGGTAAAAATGAAATATATAATATATTCATAACTTTCTGAGTTATCCTGCGCAGGATCCAGATCACCACCAAAGTTTAATGGCATTTAAGTTGAGCTAAGACACACCTCTGGCTAAAATTTCATAAAAGGACCATTCATAACTTTTCGAGATACCCTGCTAACCAACGAACAAACAGTCGAAAGTTCCTCGATCTGGATCACCACCAAAATTTAATGGAATCAAAATTGGGCTAAAACACACCTCAGGTAAAAGAAATCATAAAAATCTATTCATAACTTTGAGTTATCTGCTATCCAACGAACAAGATCATTTTTGTACAGAACTGGGCGAATAGTTCTCTAGCATTTGCTGTTCCTTAGGCAACACATTACACTAAACCCTTACAGCATTTCTTTTGGATGCGCCGTTTGTCCTTTCACTTAGCACTTCGTAAACCATATAATTGTGGTCTTCCCGACTATTTTCTCGATAATTAGACATCTTGTAAAAAGAAATGCATGTTTTATTCCCTGGGAACAAACGTGGGCGGTTCAAGATAACTGTTGAGATTATGCCAGATGTACTTGATGAAAGTGTTTCCGGGGTTTGCACAGACACTACTTTACATTTTCTCTGTTTTGCTCCGTGTTATTTTGCCATCGTATATATATATATATATATATATATATATATATATATATATATATATATATATATATATATATTTATAAATATTTTCAGAGGTATATGTGTAAACATTCACTCACACGTACACACACACACACACACACACACACACACACACACACACACACACACACACACACACACACACACAAACAAACACGTACACATTTATATATGTATGTATATAAACCATATATATATATATATATATATATATATATATATATATATATATATATATATATATATACATATACACTCGAACACACATACATATACGGATGTATGTATATACGTATGTATGCATGTATGTATGTAAACCTATACATTCTCCTCCTCTGTCTTCTCCAGCCCCCTTACCGATCGTCGAGATGAAGGCATGGTCCGTGGGGGCCTCTGACGCAAACTTAACCAGCAGCGCGGTCTTGCCTACGTTGGCGTCCCCGAGCAACAACACTTTGAACAAGTTGTCGTAAGTCCTGGCCATGGTCGACGTGTGAGCAGCTCGGATGAGTAAAGGCGTGTGTGGCTACGGGTT